CACGTTCTGCTCTTGCCTATTGCAGTGATATGGGATTGAAGCAGGGCTGGTGCCTCCAGATATGGTGTAATACAAATGAGCTCTTTCTGCTTTGATCTCTTTATCTTCCCTTTCTCCTTTTCTTCATGGAGACTACCTTTAGTGTAGCATTCAACCTGCAGGCTTTTAGGTTCTATGGCTCCGAGTACCATTCCATGATCAGACCTAGTTTTGCCCTGAGCAATTCAGGTATTTTGTGGTGACCTCGGAGATTTAAAGATAAAGAGGGAAGGAGATAACAAGAACCTTTATGAATCACTCTAGTATAATCCGAAGAATTCCTAAAACCATCATTCCTTGCCTTTGGGCTTCTCTCCTAAAGGTGGTGTAATTGTGCGTTTTTCACTGGATGCTAATGAGAGCGGCCAGAAGATAGAGACGCTGCTCATCAGCAAGCGATTTCAGAGAGACAAGAGTATTTCATGCCTTGCAAGAACAGGTTTAGTGTTGGACCTTTGCAGGAGGATGGTCTGGTTTGTACAGTTCCCCCAGCAATCAGCCTGCTGGCTTGGGAGGCCTTCATGCTGCAATTGTGCAATTCACTAACCAAGAGGATAGCAGCTCATTGGCTTTTCCCCACAACCATCTGAGTGTAAGGAAGGGGTTTATTACAGTCCAGGAACCCCTGGCACTAATGCTGAGAGGAGCTTCAATGAGTCTGTGCTGGGAAGAGAGCATATGAATATCCTAAACATCTTGAAAATCATGAAGATGTCCATTTAGTGGAGCAGCTTAGGGCTTGAGGAGGTTGTCACCATTTGAGATTCTCAGTAGCTTCCTGTAGGCTCCAAGCCTGAAGACAGCAGTCAGATGTGTTCTCTGGGATAGCCATGCCTCTGTGCAAACGAGGAGCACAAGGTCCGTTTCCTTAAGTACTGCAAGTCCTGTCCAGTGGCTCGGGCAATGTCTGTCATCAATTCCAGCCGTTGCCACATACATGGGATTTCTCTGAGGTATGAAAGAAACCAAAAGCCCATAGAGTACCCATTGCTGACTCCTTCAAGTCTTCCCCTTAAAACACACCCTGAGCTTGCGGAGATCTTGTAGGTCAAAGATCAACTTGCAGAAGGAGGACGCAGGCTTCTCATCATGCTAAGTGACAGTGGTACCCATAGAGAACACCTAGGGGACAGAAGCTGGTGTCCAGACTTTCTGCCCCTTTGGGGCACGTAGAGAGATGGCTGGGGAATGTCTTCTCCCAGCCATAGCTGGAAGCTGCTCTTTCTGTAGGACATCTCCATGTCCCGTGATGGAGAGCACCAACTCTCTGCCAGTCACATGCGATTTGTACATCGTGACCCAGATGCGCATCTGGCTCTGAGGGCGATGTGCTTGGCCTCAGCCAAAACTGTATCACTGCAGGTTTCACCTTCAAGCCCTCCTGCCTCAATAGCCACAATCTCTTTGTGCTACTCTGCTGTGGTTTCAACCTGGTTTGCTTTAGGTCTGCTGACTTCTGGTGTGAAGTCACATTAGAGTGCATCTCTGGGGAAACATTCTGCTTATAATATGGGGAGAGGTATTCCAGGGGCTTTGGGGATCACAAAGTTCATCTCTCCCCAGTTTTGTGGACAGCTTTTAGAACACCCTAAGTGTGTGTGAAACATCAATCCCTCTCTCCCTAGTGGTATCTTTGGGGCTATTGCTTAGGGCTACTTTGGGCAAGCAACACAGAGTGCCCTTCATGCAGACCCATTTGTAGCATAGAAACCTGAGGTTTTGACCTGAGAACATGCACTTCTACAAGGTCCCACAGGTGAATTCACCAGAGCTGAGCCTGCTGGGAGGGACTGTGCTGCTCTCCACAGGGACATCCATGGCTCCGTGTTTCAAAGCACAGCCTGCATCCCACCTGCTTTAGCGATTATGCCAAAGAGAAATCCCTTTGATCTTTAAAGCTCATATTATCCCTGAACTAAAATACTGTGGTAAGCATCTCACAGCACTGGTAGTGAGCACGGCAGGCAGTGCTGCCGGGGTACCCAACGCGTGGTGTGCATCACTTCATTTTTTGGTAAGAAACATCAGCTAATCAGTGAATAATCAAAGGTTGTTCATGAAAGAAGGCGACATCAAAGCAAATAATTTAAGGAACCCCTCGAGGGCCAGAGGAGTTGTAAGGTCTGAGGCTGAATCACATGAGCTCAGTCTCCATGAACTGTGTCTCAGTTTTCCTGCAGGTACAAGTTAGAAATGCTTACGATAAATGTTTAGAATTAGTTGGGGAAGGGGGGATGTTAAATCACAGTAATTATGAGCTGTGATGGCTTTGGTGCAGTGCCATTTGAAAGCATAAGTGATTTTAACACCTAATGCAAGAGTCCTTAAAAGACATTGCTTCCTGGGTAAATGGGGGTGATACCAGAAGAGTTTCAGTTCCAGTAGCAGTTTGCTTTACTGTCAGCATTGCAGACCACAGCCATGCAAAACCATTTGACAGCAGAAGGTTTCCTTTTTAGCTTGATAGCTCACAGATAGGACAGACAAGCCAGTGACTGGGGAAAGAGGAACACAGGAGTTCTAGGACAGGAGAGGGATGGCTTGTCTCAGTGCACCAATGCAGTCTGGTCCCATGAACTAGAAGGCAAGAATCTGGACAGTTGCTCTGCTGGTCCTACACTGCAAGCATGGATGAAGCTGCAGCACCCCATGTCCTCTTTTCTAATTTCTTCTAGAGTTTTAAAGGACTTTGGGATCTGAATTATGTTATGTATTTCTATAATATCCATTATGGTTTGGTCCCCATCTTTATAGAGGTTCCTTCAATGCAAATGGTGATAGCCATGCTTAGATATGAATGACCCAGCACTTGGTTGACTCCACTGGATGCTAGAGACTCAAAAGGAAGAGCTATTCTCCAAAGTCAGTCATTGACAGAGCTGAAAAAGGTCAGAGGAGTCCCTCATCCATTCAGTCCATGCATCCCTGATCTTTCTGCCAGATGGTGCTGAAAAAGAGACAAAACCAAATCCAACAAGGTTCAAATACCATGGGTTCCTTTTAAATGTAACTGAAAGTGTCTGGCTGAAGTAACCACCCCCAGCCACTCAAAGAGATAAATAGCTTCTCTGATCATGCTGACAGGAAGCATTTCCATTCTTGCATGCACTGGGGATGTACATAATACAAGCAACTTTACTAAGAGGAAAAGCATGAGCTTGGGAAAACACAGCAACAAGTCAACAACATCTTTACATGAGTAATAAGACAAATATTTACTCCCACAACACTGGAGGCAGGAATCCTGTGCCTCAGCTTTCACACAATCATGGACAGCCTGTGGAGAAACATCTCATCCTTTTGTGGCCAGCAAATCACTGCATCCAGGATTGCACTCAGGGAGTTGATTTCCAGCCCTTGGAGGAACTCGTTATCCCTTCACACCATCTGTCCTTGCACCATCCCCTCTGTGTTGTCCTGATACCATGGGGACATGGCACCATCCTTGCCTCACTGTTCATTAGCTAGCAGAGGTTTGCACTATGGGCCTCCCGCTCTCAATCCTGTGTCAGTGAGTGTGGATAGGGTTAGGGTTAGGGTTAATCACTTAAGTCCTGCAGGACCGCAAAGCACCAGAGCATCCAAACACCCAAAACATTGGTGAGTTTTAAAGAAAATGACCCAAAATGTTACTCATGCATTAGCTTTGGAAATCAGGGCTGGGTTTTTCTTCACTGCCCCAAGAGATGATGGAAGAGCCCCTTCCCTCAGACCTGGCTATGGCCATTAGCCCCAGGGGTGCGAGAGGGTGAGAGGGAAGAGAGCAGGGCATTTCCCAACCCTAACCATTCTGTAACTCTATGACTATGATGTGAAGAAAAGCCATGTGAGGTGGAGCCGTGAGGCTGTCAGAGTGATGGGATAATGGAATTTCTCCTCCACATTTTGGAAGATTTCTTCAGAAAACAGTGTGTTTTGTTTCTCTTTAGGGTATGGTTCAAGGGGGAGAAAAGAAGGGTTCAAAACATCTTTGACCTCCCCATTACCACCAGCCACATACTGCTGGGTAGGACTCAGGCTGAGGGTCTGCGCATCCCTGCAACCCCTGCCCACCCAGGGGTGAAGGGGTCCCCATCAGACCTGGGAAAAGGCTGGGCACCCAAAATGCAGTTCAGTGAGGTTTGAAAAGCATCTCCTGTGGTGAGCAAAGAGTATTCCCTACAGCAGAAGGCAACGTATGGAATATGCCTTGGAGTTTCAAGGAGATTGGATGTTTCGGATCCGTGTTTTGTTCCGTAGCCTTTCATTTTACGTTATTTTTCGTTATTTTTGCATTGTTTCACAACATGTCAAAACATCAGACTGATTCATTACAGCATAAACAGGAGACACTTTGATGTAGGAAAGAAGATGTTTTAATGGGTGCTAAGTAGCAACTGCCCTTAGGGATTTAAAAATAAAAATAGAAGCAGCACAAAACGCTATGTTAACCCTTCTCTTGTATCCCGGGATCATCCAGCTACATAGAACACTGCAGATAATAACTGTGTTTTTGCATTCATTCTGCAAAAAGAATTTTGAATTCCGAAAGGTCTTCTTGGGGATTTTCCCAATCTCTGGAGAGGAGAAAGTTATAAAGAAGAAACCCAAAACCAGTCTCTGGCAGGAGTAGCTTCAAGTAGGGCTCATGAAACCACTCGGTTTTGTTACAGGATGACTCTCCAGAGAAGCTGTAAAGGAAAGCTTTATACCCTCCCTAGGTGTGATGTGAGTCCACCAATGCCACTGATACTGCTTGTGGTGTTAAGACGGGTTGTAACTTGCTCTATGACTTGGAGACGCTCTGGCAGAGCACCCTGAAAGAGCAAGGGGCTCTCTGGTTACTGTTCTCCATCCTTCTGCAGTCAGAGCCTGAGCTGTGATAAAACTGATGCTGGAATCCCATTTGCAGGGGCCACAGAGCCTGGCACTGGGGGTTATTCTGTGACTGACCAGAGACTTCTGTCTTTGCTCCCCACTAGAGATCTGAGCATGAACAACATCAGCCAGCTGCAGCCCAGGACTCTCCGTCACCTGCGCTTCCTGGAGGAGCTGTAAGTATGGAGCAGCCACAGCAGGCAGAGCTCTGTTGGGGTGGTCCATGGGACATGGGGAGGGTGTCTGTGGCTCCAATAGCAACCCCAAGTGTTGTCACTGGGGTTACAGGCTGAGATGGAAGAAGGCTGCACACCAGGACAGAGGGGGTTGCTACTCTAGCTTAGGGGTTTGACTGCAGTCATTACCTTTAGGCTGATGGTGAATGTGCCTAGAGGCAAAATAAAACAAGACCCAATCCATTATGCAATAACCAACAGTGTACCTCGGAGCAGAGATAGCAAACAGGGAGCTTCATTCATCCTTCTGAATACAGGGGCCAGTCACAGCCTCCTGCCATCCACAGACACAAGAGCTCATGGGCACGTTGCTGTTTGGATGGCAGTAAGCCTGAGCAATTGAAGTAAAAAACGTTTGTCCCAGAGGCTTAGATGTTCCATTGGGCATCAGTGTGTGCTGCAGCTTGAGCAGTCGCACTCAGACACCACAGCACTTGCAGTCCCCAGGCACTCATGTGTGGCTGTGTGTTGGTGAAAGAAGGACTCCATGTCTGAAAGTGGGAAAAACCACTTAGAAACCACTGGAATCCCTTGGGAGCCCCAAAAATGGGAACCTGGGGGGCAGAATATTTAGGTTGGCCCTTTCTGCCTGGGTAAATTGCTCCTGTATGGTCTTATTCAAGTTGACCATGAGAAACGCCTCCAGGTGTTGTTCTCATGTTGTTGCTCCTTTCAGCGCAATAGCTTCTGTTCAGAAACAGTTTCTTCAAAACACATTTTCTACATTTAGTGAAATACTAATATTAATGCTGCATTTGATCTATGTATTGTAAAGTTACTCTCTACTACTCTATGTAACACTCACTGCAGATTAACCTGTCTAAAAGAAACACACGACTGAATCACTTCTTGCATCCACCGCCATACACAACATCAACACTACAAAAATGGTGTTTTCCAGAGTCTCTCAATTTCCTACAGGATAAGTGTTTGCAGCACTTTGGAAGGAGGCACTTTCACTTCCCAGATGTTCTTGGCCATATGTTCTGCAGTGGAGAGACCCTGAATCATCAGCATGCAGCACTAGAGCACAATGGCAGTGATAGGGACAGGTTGTGGTGACCTGCCTAACCCCCTGCTGACATGAGCCTCTTCACTGCGTGGTGATGTGCCATGCTCAGACACCGCTGCTGGGAGCAGTAAGTCCCATCTGTGCATTTAGAAAGAGTTTGCAGGTGACTTTATATACTTACATGGAGACACAAATGCAAAGGCAATCTTATTCAGTCTTGACTAATGGGGCTGGACCAGATATCACTGTTCATTATTCCCGTAACAGCTCGAATCTCATCATTACCAAACCATACCATGGGGTTTTGATTTGCAGCTCTTCATCTGTCTGTTATTCCTATTCATCAGACCTGTAAGGACCTGAGCTATGCAATCTCCCCTCCCCATTAGGCATTTACAGACTGACCAGGAGTAATCTTCTACCCTTCTTTAGCTTTGGAGCTTGAGCTGTGCCCAGAGGTGGCTTTTTCAAGACCTCACATCCACCTTGCAGCCTTTCTCTTCCCATTTTGTCAGTATCTGCATGAAGTGTGGACACCCAAACCATTCACTGGGGGTAGTACAGCTTTTCATACACAGAAACCATACTCTTTTGTAGACACTTAACTCTTGTCTTGCTGCAAGCAGTTGTGTCCTGATTACACGTCAGGTACAAAACAGAACAGTCTCAACCAGCAAAGAATAAATATTCATAGGCTCCAAAAGAGCCAGCTTTCCACAGCCAAAAATAATTAGGAATGAAACAGATGAAAAGGAAAACTTTAAACAGGAAAATCTGAAAAATAATTGGAAGTTGTTAGAGAACATTTTACTAGAGGTTCAAAATGCCACAAGTCGTCATTTGGAAAGCAAAGGTATTTTGACTAGGAAAAAATATCATGGGTAGGAAAAGAAATGGAAAATGGAGCATTATATGCCTATGTATAGCCAAGTTCCTGCTTGAATTTGACATCAATAAGACAGTAATCCTATTTATGGAAATCAAGCAATTTATATGAAACCAAGCAAGGAAGGATTTTTATACACTATCAGGAATTTAAAGTGATTCTTTCAACAACATCCTGACAGGGACACTGTGTACATTATTCATAGGGCTGTCATCAACCAGTAATGCAACATGCCTGGCATTTCCCCTGCTCTTTTCACTTCTATCTTTACCAGACTTTCATCCCAAAACATTACATCAGGACCATGACATTCAGGATGGGATCACGCTCTGTGCCAGGATGTGCACAAGAATCAAGTGAGCAAATCCTGCCTGTTTACACATCCTCAATAGAAGTTTGTTCAGGTTTAACAGCTCAAATCTCTGCAGATTTCGTCTATGCAGAGCATGATTCCTTAAGTCTACTGGGGTGACACGTAGCACATGAGACCAAGCCTTCTGTCTGCTTCCCCATGGAAGAACTGCCCATGCTGAGGCATGCAAAGTGAGTGAAGACCAGAAAGCTAAGCAATGAGGGGCAATCCAGGTATCCCGGTGTTAGTACCTCCTAAGGAGGAGGAAGACCTGCCTGTCCACCTGCCAAACCTGAGAAGTAAATGGTATCCCAAATAATACTTGGTTTATTGCAATGATGCCTTAAAAAAGATGCTTGAACCTTCTGAAAAAAAATCACAGGTTCCTCAGCCAAAAATATTTGCCAAATTCAACACATATTTTCAAGTCTTCTTTTCAGGTCCTCTGGAAATTCTTACGTCTTTGGGACATTTTTACCTTGGTCTAACACTCCAAAACATCCTAGAAATTCCTGACAGCCTTGAACACATGTGAATGTGGTCTGTAAAACTCATCTTCTTTGACAGTCAGAGGAAGTCCATGTTCCTCTGCCTCCTCCACAAGCTCCTCATAGTTTCCCTCTCATGTTCTGCTGTTGCCAATATCTCTCTTGTTAGATCTAGTCCCAGTAGCCCAGGGTCATGGGAGCTTGGAGGAGAGCTGGTGTTTCACACCTTTTACGATGCCTCCTCTTTTTGTGCCTCTAATTTAGCACCATCTCAGGCTCCCCATGGAGATGAAACTTCATGAGCTTCAGAGATCCGCTAGATGAAGGCTCAGCTTGTGCATGGAGCTGGGGTTCAACCAAGGAACAGGAATAATGGAAAGAGGAAAGGAAGCTGCAAAAAAGATAATGCACGTGTCCCATGGACACTGAGGACAAATGTGCCTCATTGCACATCCTTCCAGCTGCATGGAGCACTGCGAATCCACATTGCTGGATCCACCTGAGCCCATAGTGTGTTAATTGTCCGCACGCACCTATGCTGGCTGGGAGCATGCAAGGAACAAATGAGAGCAGAGTGGCACATGAGGGTCTTGAGGACAGCAAATCGATCACCCAAGCCACACCATGATGTCCAGCTGGGCTGTGTCCCACAGGACATTCCTGTATTGCCTCAGATCCCCTCAGGAGACCAAACAGCCATGTCCCACAAGGGATTAGAGTCAACAGATGAGGGCACGAGGAGTGCTCCAGCTCAAGCTGCTTGCTCAATGTGTGGTCCTGGTGAAGTGATTTTCCCTGCCAGTGCCTCTATTTACCCATCCATTCAGCAAGGAGAATGGGCCTCTCAGGTGTGCCAGGACCTGTTAGTCATTAGTTTTTACTGCAGGCTGCTTAGGAAGGTCTTGCGGATGCAATTAGCACTCGTGCTCAGAGGGTGCCAAGAGACCAGATTCTCCAATCTCAAATGGCTTTGAAGAGCTCATACCACCATGGACTCCTCTCCAATGGTTCTCCATCAATCTGCGCTCCCCTCTGTCACCACCAGCATCCAGCTCCAGCGGGGAAAAAGCAGAGACAGGAGAGGCTGTGCTGCAAGCAGACACAATCTCAGCCCAGGCACTCACCAGTCCTCCTCTTCAAAGGAAACTTCCATTGACAGAGGTGTTCATTCAGAGCCGGGCCTCACACAGGCAGGGAGGAGGCCGGAGTTTAGTGTGTCTCCTCTTTGTTTCTTTCTCTATTTTTCCCCCTTCTTCTCTTTCTTTCTCTCTTTTTTGGCAGCAGGAAGATTGTTTAAAGTTGCTAATAAATTCCAGTTAATGAAGCCTGAAAAGCCAGAGCTGGGAGCCAAGAGAAACAAGAGCAATCAGTACAGAAGGAATAGAAAGAGGATCTTGAAAGCCAGCCTGGGAATAATAACATGTTGAAATGTGTTTGCCGGCAAGGGCTTTGTTACCTCGCTTTGAATCCAAACAAGAGCACTTGGTGCCAAGAAGAGAAACTGCAGCCAAAGGCAGGTGTTCATTGCCATTCACCTCTTGCTTCAGGGCACAGCGGCAAGATCAGACCCCTTCCCAGCCACTGGCTCTTTCACCTGCCTCTTCTCAGGCCCCCAGGGCAGAGGTACTCAGCATCACGGGGAGTGCCCTGCCTCTGCATCAGCGCAGGCACAGCAGGCTCAGGACCCACACCGTGGCCTCCCCTTGCAGGCTGTTCCCTTTCTCAGGCAGCTCTTGGAACCAAAGGGACTGGAGGGGAAGAAACAGCGTAAAGCAAAGCAAAATGTAAGCATGTATGATGGGAACAGAGCAGCCCTCTTCTCCCTTGCACCAGGGAGGGAACCCCCTTCTCATGCCTCTTACCATGTGGGTGCAAGGACCAGTGGAGCCAGCATGGGTCACAGAGCACCAGCACTGCCCATGCCTGGTGTTGGGGCACCCACCATCACCCACATCAGCTCCTAGACATCCAAAGCATCCACCTTTAGGGGTGTTGTCCCACACAGGCTCTCACCCCAAGGAAATCTCATGCTTGTAAGAGGCAGCATGGTGGTAATGCTGGCCTTGGGGCATGACTCCTTCAGCAGTGATAGCTCTGCTGTGTAAAGGGTGCTGACATTTATAGGCAATGTTCAAGCGTGCTGGCACCACAGTGCAAAGCCTTCCCTGGAGCAGTGCAATAACATCTCTGGAGCTGGGTACTCCTAGCAGAGCAGCTTTGGTTGGTTTCCATGACACAGCAGCCTGTAGAGGTCTATGGTAAAGAGACAAATGCTTGTAGAGCCATGACCTTGCTTTGCCATGCTGAAATTTGGAGGCAACATTGCCTGACACAGCTTTCCATTTCCAGATGGATGTGGGTGAGAAGCTGCAGCTCCCTGCTTGCTTGGACTCCATGGTTCCCTCAGGATGCTGCCTAGATCCTGTTTCTGAGAAGGCCCCAGGATGCAACTTGGTCTGGCCCTGGTTCATCCAGGACTTCTGTCCTCATGGTTGACATCGATCCTTGGCAGAGGACAGCACTGGTCATCAATTCAGTGGGTGGGCAAAAGCACAGAGAGGGTTCAAGGATAATTCCTCGAAGGAAGCCTTTCAAAGGTCATCCCTGTGCGATCTGGCATGGTGTGGAGGCAGACCTTGGCTATGCTGCAGGTGGGGAGAGGAGACAGGGGTTTCTAAGAGGTTCTCCATCACCATGAACACTGAAAACTGAAGCCAAGTTATTGCAGGGGGTCAAGTCAAATTCAACATGTAGTGAAAATGTTTCAGCTCTTTTTTTACTCCATTTAGGCTGGGGTTCATGTGCAGCAACTGAAAAACCCTTGCAAGTGAGGGTAGCTGGCCCCAATTGTCCTGAACACTGCCTTCCAAATACTAACTCTATTCTGAGGTATCCCAAGAGGGGCAAACAGAATAGAGCCAAGGGTCAAAACTGCTCGGAAGGTTTGGAACTAACAAATACCCCCTGAAAAACTTGTCAGTTTATAATATAAGGGAATGGAGTGAAGGCATTCAGTGTCCTGCATTGGGTTGTTCATTAGGGAGCTGTGTCTTGGCAAATGAATCCAAATTAGCTTGCATGCGAACATTCATGTGGGTTGAAAACTGGCTTGAGAACCATAAACAAAAGAAACGAATGCCATCAATCTATCGAGTTGGAACAGGCATTTGATGGGGGTACAGGGAGCAGAATTAGGAACAGGCCTGCATAGTGTTGTCCTCAGGGATGGAGCAAGGAAGCAAGGAGCACGTTAGAGACACCTCCAGGTGATGCCGGACTACGACAAGCTGCAGATGCCTGTGAGGGAAGGGAGAGTTCAAGCCTGGCTTTTTCCTCAAACATGCGATGTTTTCATTTGTATGACTTAAGTCAGCTCCATTCCTCTTTTGCACCAGCACAAGGACAAACTCCAGCAGAACACAGAGCCCTTGTCCCCTGTGTGCCCAGGGGATGGCACAGTCTTGGCACGATGACACTGTTTAGACAGAAGCATGGAGTAACTGGGCACAGATTCTGCCTTGACAGCGTTAGTACTTGAGAAATGAAGCAGAAGATCAAAGGGGGAGGCTGACATGCCCAATAAAGATCTGGCACGGGGAAAATTCCACTGGAATATGGACACACATGTTTGTCCTGTCCTGCCAATGGGCAATGTTCCTGCCTCCTAATGTGAATGATAAGAGCATCATCGTGTTGCCTGAGCACATGACATGAGCGATCATGCCCAACAAACAGCCTTTGGGTGTGCCATGGAAGTTGTAGCATGACCAAGAAGCCCAAGATACAGGAGGGGGTGGGAGCCTGTGGTAACTGAACTGCAGCAACCATGAGGTGGTAAACCATGAGTTTGTTCCAACTTGGAGTGTATTGGGAATGCAGATCAAAGCCTGGAGGAATGTTCCCAGAAATCACGGGAGTGGGGAAGGTGGGGGAGACCAGGATCCGAAATCCACTGAACACAGGAGCTTTCCAGAGCAAGCCAGCCAACACCAGCTCTCATCCTCCCCTTCCACCTGCCCCTTCTCTCCCTCTTCTTCCATCGTTCACTTTAAATCCAGAGCTTTCCCTTTCTCCCAGCCCTATTTCAGTGTCAGCTCCAGGACACCAGGACATACAGCTGGATTGAATCTGTCTATCCTAAAAAGAGACCTAACACCTGGGGCTGGGCGATGCTTTGTGCCTCTGACTTCACTCAGAGATGGTGCCCATTGAAACCAGGGTATCTCCCACAGAAAGCTGGGGTTTTCCCCTCATGCTCTGTTTTGCCCATGGTGCTGAGATGCTCACACTGGTTCAGCCAGCACATGGGGCTCCCTGCCACCCTGTTCTGAGACCAGGAGCCCCAGCCTGGGCACCCCAAGCTCCTTTCCTGCTAATCCTGGAGGTCCCAGATCCATTTAGGTACTTATCAAACACACAAACGCACCCAGGGAAGTGAACATAAAAGTGCAGAGCTGCCAGGAAACAAGTCAAGAGCCACATTTAACAGTGAATATGTGAGGTCTGCTGCCAGCTAAGGCATGGGGGCAGGCAGGAGCTCCAGGGAGGTGAGGACAGACAGCCCCTCACTGAGCAAGCACAGCCTGGTAGGATGGATGCTGGGAGCAGGCTGAGGATGCTGCCCAGAACACCTCCCCTCCAGTCCTCTGGACAGCACTCCCTCCCATGTGGAAATCAGCAATCAAAAGGAGCAATTACCCCAAATCACAGCCCCCAAGTGACAAATAGCCCAGCCTGCCAGGCAGCTTGCACACTGCACAGAGGCAGGTTACAACCTGCTCACACACATTAAAGGGACGACCCTGTGCTGTTTATGCTGTCAGAGGCCTAATTATGGGAGCAATTTTCCTTAGATTCCGGAGGGGAGAGACAGGGAGGGAGAGGGCTCAGGCACCCACACACATCTGCTCTGCCACCGGGCAGTGTGGCTCCCAGAGCAGCCCAGATCCTCCCTATGTCCTCACTGCAATACACTCTGCTTCCAGCCTGGGGGACCCTGCTCAGCCTCGACACCTACCTCCTTCACAGGCAAAAGGTGTAAAAAGGAACGAGCTTTGTCAATGCTAAATGAATATAAAAAGCTTGGCAGCATCTATGCCCAGCATCTCGGGCCTGCTTTGGACTGGCTGAAGATGAGTCTGGTCACAAATGATGTTCACTGTCTCCTTCGGGGAGATGCAAGTCAAGTGGGCAACACGTTTCTTACTTGTGACCATTGGAGAAGCCCAACCTTGACCTTTGTTTGATCACTTGAGGATCAGATAGAGAAACACAAATGCAGTAGCAATTTGGGGTCTTAATAGCTTGTTAAACCTGTTTTCATGATTTCTGACTTGTGGGGACTAGGAATTGGTCCATGTTTTCTCACTGGAAAAACAAGAGAAGATTCTCCTTAGGTCAAGCCTAGACTCGAGCCATGGACATCACTGAAAGTGATGGTGACAGTGGTGCATTTCCAATGTCAGTAAAAATTCCAGATCCCTGCTAATGTCCCAGCCTGCTCTGGGCCTTGCTAAAGCCTGGATGCTCTGACCAGGTGATGCTGTACAATGGTGAATCCCACAGGTTTCCATGGACAAATTCTTTCAGCCAGTTCTGAACATTGTCCCTTGTTTTTCATTCTGCCCCCCTGTTGGTTCCACTTTCCTTTGTGATTCTGCTCTTCACTTTGCCTTCCTTTCTCATCCCTTCACATTCATCCTCATCCAACAGCCTTCCCAGGCTGCATTGTCCCTATCCTTGTCTTCCCCTTGCAGTTATCTCCAGCTGTAACCTGGTCAAGAACCACTTCTGACTTTTCTGTCCTGGTTTTGGGCAGATGAGCTGGCTCTACTGTGGTACTACATCATACACCCCATCTCCAGCCCCTTCCCCTGTCTCCCCTCACAGCAGTGATACCGAACTCCTGTGTTGGATGAACTGGGCCTTAGCTGTGACTCCACAGCTCAAAGTAGAGGTGGCAATGAGGGGGTACATTAAGTGTCATTGAGCTTTGATGGACAGGACAAAGGAGAGCCTGCAGGATGCAGAAACACGCCACATGCAGACAAAAGGCACAGAAAAGGGTCCATGATTTAGGGACATCCTCTCAGGACCATGAATGAGCAAGCAGAAAATGGTTCTTCCCCCATCCCACACTCACTGCCAGGTGCCTGGCATAGAGCAGGGTCTGTTGGTTGGCCAAAGCCCTCGAGCAGAGGTCCCTCTCACAGGCAGCCTGGGCTGTAAAATGGAGTGGGGTCCTCTGCAGGTATCCAGGGAATGACTCGACCTGTGGGCCGTCACTGGAGCTGGATTCAGGTCTGGAAGGGCTAACAAGCCATCATATTCTTTGGCCATTCCCCAGCTGTAAGGGAATGAAAGGCAAAGGTACCCCAAGTGTGTGACCATGGCTCAGCTTGCAGGTGCTGCAGCCTCCTCCCCACGGCAAGAGGAATGAATCTTTAAGCCTCTGCAGACAAGGGACTGTCATTACAAGGATGCTGACACATTGCTGGCTCTTCTCTTCACTGCAGACGCCTCTCTGGAAACCAGATCTCCAGGATCCCAGGGGAAGCTTTCTCTGGCCTCTACAGCCTGAAGATCCTGTAAGTAACTCCCTCCCTTCTGCAGAGCCACCACCTCCCCAGCCCCTGGTAATGGCCAGCCTTGGTAGATGAAAGCCTCTGCCTATAGAGTGGGGAAAGTCTAAGCAACAAAGGCTACCAGCAAGTACTTTCCTATGGGCCAGGTTGTCGTACCACTCATGCAGTCACAGTGGTTTTGCATCCACATGACAGTCCCACAGGGTCTGTGCAGGGTACTGAGGTGAGAATCCATTTCTCCCTTTAAGAACCATCTTAAAAATCTCCTGCAATAAACATTTCATCCCCAAGGGGATGTTTTGAACTCAGCCACAATGTGAAATTGTTGTAGCTGGTCCAGTTTATACAGAGCGAGCAGGTACAAACCTGCTTCCAGGATTAGAGAGCATAGGGCTGTTTACTACGTCTTCTGAAGATGTAAAGTATGAATCCTGCCCTAAATCTCAGGGCTTAGAGATTTATCCATCCCCTGCATTAGGCAACAAATCAAAGGAACTGAGGAAAAACCGCAGCTCTCCCACCCAATTTCAACAAGAGGAACTTTCTCCTTCAGGAACGCAGGAGCTTTTAAAGCCGCTTTTGATCAATTCCTATTTGTGTCAGGCCCAGGTAACTCCTGATGCAGAGTGCTAGAGCAGTGCCTCCCTTCTGGAGGCAGCACAGGTTGCACAAAGGGGAGCAGCACGCTCGCTCTGTCCTGCCACCCAATGTACTCCACCACAATGCAGTGCCAGTAGCACATTCACCGGTGACCCTGTTGTAAGGAATGGCTTGAAGGCTTAGAGCGTTTCCAACTGGGATGGATGGAGAAGCTTGCCCAAGGCTGTCTCGTGAGAGCTGGAATCGGTGTCCTCATGCTTCAGGACAACCTCATCACCACTCCTCGCCAGTGGGGCAAGGCAGGGCTGGGCATGATTGAAAATGAACCCTCTGCCCATGCCCTCCTCCTGTGTAAAACTGATCCATGGGCAGCACAAATAGCCTCAGATGTCTTGGTGCATGCAGAGGGCAGTCTGGGCCTTAGACACTGGCAGCCTCAGATCCCTGCTTCATCAGCTCCTCATTTACCTCTAATCACTCTGTTGTACCCCACTCCCACCATCCTGCCATCCTCAAGACCTCTCTTCACCTTCCCTGGTGATCTTCTCACTGCCTGCTCTGCATGGACACAGGCCAAGTGCAGGGACCACAGAGCACCACGAGCTTCCTCACTGGTGCACTCAGAGCCAGTTCCCACTGGGTGCAAAGCTGCTGGGACCCCTCTGAGAGGAGTGAGGTAGTGGGGCAGGTGGGAGAGGTGTGAACTGTGTAGGTCCATGGTCATCATCCGTGGCTTTCCATACTTGTGAGAGGGCAGTGTAAGCCCCAGTGGTCAATCCCATCAATCCCACAGGTGCTCACTGCAATGGGGAAGCTTATTGAAGTGGACAACTTCACAGGAGGACCAACACATTTTCTGGGGCTCCTGGTCCTGCACATGGGTGCCTGGGGTGTGCTGGAGGGATGACACTGGGTCCTGCAGCCCAGTGAAGAAAACCAAAGTGCTTCATTCAAAAACAGTGAGAAGGATCAGGGGTCTGGTGATGACCTAAAGGAATAATGAGGGAACTGAGGTTACTTAATCTGAAGGAGAAGTGAAAGAGGATGAACATAAACCTTTAAGGACAAGCAGCTGCTGCAATAAGGAAGGAAATACATGTGCTCCATATCTGCAACAGGTTTTGGAGCAGATGGCACCAGGGACATTCAGGACAGTTTATATCTAGAACCATGGATGCTCTATCAGAGGTTGCCTGAGGGTTGGCAGTCACAGGCATGGCTGGAGTTGGGAATGGCTGCCTCAAACATGAGCAACTGAAGCCTGTAAGCATTCAGGAGCTGACTCACATCAGTATCAGAGATCTCACCTCTGGTGACAGGAGTGTCCCCCATGGAGACAGGTTGGGGATGGTAGCGATTTTCATAACTCAATATTAATGTGCTAATTGCGGTCATGTGCACGTCCATGAGTAAATGCTCGCGTTCATCTTGGGCTGTCAGGGGGCCTGGTGCATTCCTGGTCTTTCCAGAGAATTAGTTTATGCTTTAGAAAGGATGGGAAACACCCTGGGATTTCCTCCACAAACCTGCCTGTGCAGATGGTCCTCTCCCTGCCCTCACAGTGAATCCCAGAGCTACTGGAAGCAGGACGAGATTCTTGGCTCTGCCTCCTCCAGCTGCTTCCCTGCACAAAAACCACCTGGAAAGTGGCCATGGAGATAGGCCTGTGCAGAAACCATGCAGGAGTACACCCAGGGAGGCAGGTGTGTGGAGACTTGAAGGAGAGAAAGCGAGGAGCCAGGCTACCCGGCTGCAAAGCATGGCGACATAGGGATTATGCTGAGATCCTCATACACTGAGCCTTGAGCCGAAGGCGAGGTGAGATGTGGCCTCCTCAGCTCCCCTCAATGGGTGCAGACTGGCAGCAGTGGCAGCTCCGAGGTCTTCTCAGCCGATGGGAACATTCCTTTGTGAAAAGACATTGGGAGTGCACCTCTCCCAGGGGTGCTGGCCAACCCACACCTTCCCCACAGAGGCTGATGCTCTTGGGTCCATGCTTCAGTACATCAATAGAAACCAGAGCCATCGGTTGGTTTGTCTGCTCTGGAAAGGTCATTCCCTTACAAAATCAACTCTTTGGTCCATGCTCTTTCAGCCTTGGAGCTTTCCAGCTGGAATATGCCTCCAGTCTCCGGAAGACTGGAAAGGTGCCTGTCCTTCCAGACCTCCTCTTGAGTTGCCTGAATGCCCCTTACCTCCAAGTGCCCTGAACGGAGCTCCATCTGCCAGGAAGCATCCATCCCAGCTGGCAATGTGGCTAAGCTTGTACTGCCACAACTTAACGTCACATCCCACCCTTGCACTCTTCAAATGCTCTCTGCAGCACAAGCAGGATTGCCAGGCCTCTTACTCTCCTGGCTGAACATGCTGCAGCAGCAGCAGCACCTACCAGCCAAGAAGGAATTCCACACCAAACTCCACAGGGAAAGACTCCAAGTACAACCACAACCTGAGCCTGCCTCACCCCAAAACGTGGAGGGCAAAATGCTTGGATGCATCCTTTTGGCCGCAGACCCTGCACCCACAGCAGCCAGCTGGGGTGGCCCACGCTGCTCCTCCATTCCTCAATGAGCCCATGGAACATCCAGACCCAACACTGCCCACAGCCTGCCTGCACCAGCATGGTGATTCGGTGCTGCCTGCAGCCGCTCCCAGTGTTGTCCACGGTTGGTCTGCATCCAACTCCTGTTGGATGGAGTGAGCCCAGCAGGATGGCCTTGCTCTGCACATGCCACGTTTCCTGTCTGGATGGACTCTACCCAATGGCCACCCCCACTGGTCCCTTCTTCTCTTCCCACCTTGAGCTGCAATCATAGCATCTCGTGTGCTCCAGGGCAAGCACTGTCTAGCCTGGCTTGTTGAGCATGCATCAAAACACCACCAGAAAGCCATGTTGCCTCAGGATGGCAGGTCTGCAGGTGTCTTGGGACACTTCAGGAACCCCCAGAGAGACCTTATGTCTACCTGTGCAGAACAGAAATAACTTTGAAACAAAGGGAATGGTGGGGTATATCCAAGAGACGCTCCCATGGGGAGGGAAGAGAAACGTGCAGAGGTTGGAATGTCTTTAATCCCCATGCACAAGCTCCAGGCACAGTTGCCTCAAGCAATAACAGCCCTTTGACTGTGCTGGCTGAGTCACTTCAGCCTCCCAAGATGGGGACATTTTATCATGCACAGGCCTGTACTTCTGAGGGCTGTAAGTCTGCTAAGACTGTCTTGTGCAAGGATGCTGGTGTGATGGGACCCGATCCCAGCATTTTTCTGGTCGTTCAGGTATGGTCTCTGACAACAAAAAATCCTCCTACTTCTGAAAATAAAACATGACCTCTGAGGAGCTGTGGTTTATGCTGGTTCCAGTCAGGCTGCTGTGGGTAGCAGGTTGCGCTTCCATGTCTGCAAGTGTCTGCAAGCTCCAGTATGGTCACCTCAACAGTGTCAACCAAAGGTGGCAGTGCACTATCCGGACCTGCTTTTGAGCACTTGCTGGCCTGAGTGGTCCTTGCTCACCATATTCATAGAATCACAGAACAGTTAGGGTTGGAAAGGACCTTAAGATCATCCAGTTCCAACCTCCCTGCCATGGGCAGGGACACCTCACAGTAGCCAGGGGTGGAGCGTTCACAACTTCACAGGGTAGCCCATTCCAGTGCCTCACCACCCTGATAGTAAAGAACTTCCTCCTTAGATCCAATCTAAACTTCCCCTGTTTAAGTCTGAACCCGTTACCCCTTGTCCTACCACTACAGTCCCTAATGAAGAGTCCCTCCCCAGCATCCCTATAGGCCCCCTTCAGATACTGGAAGCTGCTCTGAGGTCTCCACACAGCCTTCTCTTTTCCAAGCTGAACAGCCCCAACTTTCTCAGCCTATCTCCATACAGGAGGTGCTCAGCCCCTGATCATCCTTGTGGCCTCCTCTGGACCTGTTCCAACAGTTCCATGTCCTTTTTATGTTGTGGACACCAGAACTGCACACAGTGCTCCAAGTGAGGTCTCACGAGAGCAGAGCAGAGGGGCAGGATCACCTCCTTGGACCTGCGGGTCCCGCTCCTTTTGATGCAGCCCAGGACACGGTTGGCTTTCTAGGCTGCGAGCACACACTGAAGCCATGTCACTGACAAAGATGTTGAACAAGACCGGTCCCAACACCAACCCCTGAGGGCCACCACTCGTTACTGGTCTCTAGCCGGACACTGAGCCATTGACCACAGCTCTTTGTGTGCGGCCATCCAGCCAGTTCTTTATCCACCGGGTGGTCCAGTCATCAAATTGATGTCTCTCCAGTTTAGAGACAAGGATGTCGTGTGGGACAGTGTCGAACTCTTAATCAAGGTCCTCAGCTTGTCCAGATGGTCTGGTCCTGCATTTGGTACTGCCTCATCAACCAGCACAGTCCTGTAGGACTTTACTCATCGATACAGATGCTTGAAGACAGAAAAATGGACTCAGCAATTGAGAAACTGCACCAACCAGGGTGGTCACAGAGCTGTGTATGTAGTGACATTGCATGCAGCCATCCAGCCAATCCTTTATCCAAGTGGTCCACTCATCAAATCCATGTCTCTGCAGTTTAGAGGCAAGGATGTCATGCATGATGGTGTCAAATGCTTTGCACAAGTCCAGGTAGATGACATCAACTGCTTTACCCCTGTCCATCAGTTCCGTAGCCCCATCGTAGAAGGCCACCAAATTGGTCAGACAGGATCTCCCTTTAGTGAAGCCATGCTGGCTGTCACCAACCACCTTGTTGTTTTTCATGCTTTCCACATTGTTTGTCTGTGCCAAACTGGCTTCATTTTGGAACCAGCCCATGCTGCTGGTGATCTGGAAAGTCTGTCTGTGTTACTGGTTGGAAAAGGGACTTGTAATAGATGGGAGGCGGCAGGATCCAGCACCAGTACGACAATGGGTTTTGCTTAAATATTGGCTCCAGATACTCCCACTCACCAACTCTAAACGCTGAGCTCAGATTTCATAGAGCCACTGAGATCCAGTGTGTTTCCCACCAAAACCCCACCAGCACTTCCTAAAGGCCCATTCTGTTCAGCCGTGCATCTTCTTAATTTTTAACAAACCTGAACTGTTGAACTCCTGCATGGGGCTGCAGGATGTCTTATCCCTCCAGAGCATCCCAGATGCAGAGAAACCCATATGCAGGACTCAGAGCCCCTAAAGTTGTGTTGGTCTTTGTATAAAGTTGTCCACCTTGATGAGCTTCCCATGCCCGATGCTCACTTCCATTCCTGAGAAGTCCTCCTGGGTCCTGCCCATTCAATCCAACAGCTCCAGTCACCCGTTCCTCTGAAACTTCTGGACTGGTTTGGGTTTTTCCACAACAGCTCCAGTTACTGCTTCAACTTGTGCTAGTGCCCCAAAGCCCCTTAGCAAAGAGCTATGGAGTGGTTCCTCACCCATTGTGTTCGCAGATGTCCCACGAGCCACATAAAAATCCTGCCCACAGGCCAGTTTCCATAGACCCTGCAGAGGTAACCACCACTGGCACACACTGGGAGTTTATCCTTTTACACAAGTATTAATATGGACAACTCAGCTGGGAGCACTGGTAGTAAGCACTCCAGACTAACTGCAGCGGAAAGGCCCCCTTATGGTCACATCCTTCCCTCACCAAGCTCACCTTTGGTACCCCTGTCCTGCAGCATCCCAGGGCTGCAGCTGGCCTTAAGCTTGTTTAAGAGCCCTGAGTGACCAACAGGGTGCTTTCCAACCCCTTCAGCTTTCCAACAGGAGTCCAGAGCAGCTTCAGAAACAATCAGTGATATCCTCCGTATTGTGTCAGGGTTCTGGCTTTTTTCTTTTACATAAAGTTTTCCTTTTTCTAATTCTAGGATGCTGCAGAACAATCAGATGAGCTGCATCCCTGCAGAGGCACTGAGAGATCTTCCAAACCTCCAATCTCTGTAAGTCATTAAAAACCACTGCTGTGAGCTGCACGGTCCCTTGGGGGCCTCAGGGCTTCCCAGCACTTGAGTCATTAGTTCCTTTGTCAAGGATGTTCTGTCCCTTCTTCCTTTTCTTTTCCAATTAAAGCTAAGATTACTGTCACTTAGCTTAGAAGGGAGAGGAAGGCAGTTTTCAAGGAAGGAACATTGTCTGGGTAAAGGATGTTGAAATTACAGCTCCCCATGTGTGCACTGTGATGAAAAGGCCACCAGCGCCAATGCATATTTCAAGGAATGCTGGAAAATATCCACCCAAAAAGGGCTCTGTCCTCTCTGCTGTGGACCACAGTGGGGCAGGGACCTGCCAGGGAGCACAGAGGATGCTCTGATCTGTCAACATGTGAGGTGGGCTGTTTTACCCAGGTAGAGGGTATCTATGCCAGGGTAGAAATGCTTTAAATCACCTCTAGTGATTGAGCCATGAGAAGAAGCTGGGTCTGCAACCATGCTTTTCCTTTAAAGTAACTATATCCACAGCAGGTTTGTCCTACTGTATTCACAAAAACATCACACATCACTGAAATAGCTGCAGTTTCCTGAGTCAGGGCTCACTTGCAGTCAGATCCTGAATTTAGGGAAGGGTTGTTCGGTAAGTGCCCAGCTTGTATGATCAGCACTGATGATGAGCATTCTGAATAGGGCCGAACCACTGCAAACCATAGCGGCACAGGGTGGACAGTCACTGTGTTTGAAGGCAGATATAGAACTAAGATGCTCTGCTTGGTTTTCATTGGTGCTGCCATGACTTCTCCAAATGTAGTCGCTAACCTTGAGCCAAGAGCCTCCAGTGTGGGTCTGTGTTAGAGACTTTTTTCTTCCCTCCTTTTCAAACATCTGAGTCATTTTCCACACAAGTTTATGAGACTCTTGTGTATTCACTGCCAGCCTGGAACACCTATAGGTCACCTACAGCATGGTTTCCAAGCATTACCAGTCAGACTACCTAAGACCCAGTGTACTCGTGTTGCTCAGACTATTTGTTTTCCATTCAGAAGGGGAAGAGCCTTCCTAGCACATCATGACCATTGATGAGTTACTGTCCTTGTGTGGCACCTCATGGAACGTTAACTCTCTGCTTTGCAAGTTGGCAACGTGCAAAGCAGGCAGGAGAGCTGAAACGGGGGGTGAAAATGGGAGCCAGCATGAGTGGAACAGAGAGCTGTACTAGACAGAAAGGGATTGTGTGCTGGTTATTTTCTTGCTCTTTCAGGTATTTGCATTTGATGTCCCCATTCGTCATCCTGGGATTCAGGCAGGATTTGAAGGGAAAGTGTGTACCTCTTATGGACAAGCTGGCACAGGAGAGGAAAAACAGGCTTTTCAATACACAAGTCTTTCCTTAGATTTATGATAGAAGCAGCCAACTGAGAGAACAATAGCTCTGTGCACAGTTCTACCAATAGGATTTATCAGGCAATTCAAGGATTAGGTGGCCAAACAAGTAGGACAAAATGGGAGGCTTCAATAGCCACTGTTGGACAGGGAGAGGTTGGTATTTATTGACTGCACAGCACCAAGTTGGAGCTGAAATGTAGCAAAACCCTAATGCCTAGATGAGGCTATACTGGTTCTCCAAGTAATGGAAGGTACCGAAGAACTGTTCACAGGACAGCATGCCAAAAAAACTGGCTTTGATTCAGGCAAGCTTAGGTGAGATTGGAGGGACAGGGTGTTCCCCTGTGGATGTTCTCCAAGGGGATATTCCCATTGCCCCATACGTTTTCTAACTGAGGTGTAGTCCTGAGTTTTGGCAAATACTATTTCAAGCACACTAACAGGGCTTCCTCCTGCAAACGCTGACACAAGCACTGGGAAGGGGGCAAACTGGGCAGAGGTTTTCACCCATCAACTTAACTCTGTGCCAACCAAGGGCACCCATTCCCTGTCATTTCACGTGCTGACCCAAAGCTTGGCTGCTCCAGGTTGTCTGACTGCTCATCACCGAGTATCACTTACCAGGGACTTCTTGTGCTCTGGGCCCCTCCTCTTCCAGAGGGAGGCATCCTCTTATATGGGTTCAGCACTTCCCAGCCAGAGGTGTTCATGATTCACTCTGCCCCATGGATGCCAGCCAGCCTGAGGAGGCAAGTGTCAAATCCACCCAAATACCCCCATCCACATCAGACATACCTGTCCTTACAAACACCCCTCATCTCAGGTCCTCTGAAGCTGCAGCCATGCCCGTGGGGCCAGAATCAGACCTGCCTTGCTCCCTGTCAGCTACAGGATGCGGAGGCATCACTGCCTGGAGCCCGAGTTGTCAGGAAGGAGAGACCTTGGCAGGAATCACTAAATGAACACAAAGAGGAATTTAGATTTCAAAAGAAGAGAATACAACACTGGAGCCTGAGCTTCCTACCAAGCAGGAGGGAGCTGCTTCCCAGCAGGCTTGCTTTATCTGGGAAGCATGTTGGGAAACCTGGTGGGGAGGATTAGAGAGAACATGCACACCTGATGGCAATGCTCTGAGCCCTGCTACGGGTGCCAAGGCTTTACGTAATGCTCTGATCCAGTTGTGATCCCCTGGCAGGGTATCTGGTTACCGGTGGTTTATAGGTGCAGTAACAACACACCATGTGTATTCTGGAAGAGTCGTGTGTCAGTCTAATTAACGACTTTGTGGTTTGTGAGCACTTACCTGGAGCAGATGGGCACTGTGTCTGTTCCTCTGCCAGGCAGAAGGAGTCCAAGGTATTTCAAAGTGAGCAGGTGTTATAAATTATAATTACCAGGCTTGCAGAGAAAGCAAAGAGAAAAGAAATCTGATGGATTAAGAGATCAAGATAAACTCTTGGGTTTTCTTCTTCAAATACTTATGGAAAGTGATGAGAATGGCTGGCTCTTTCTGGAGTTTCTCGCGCTTTGGGAAGGTGCTAAAGGTGTATCTGGCTCATCAGGGTGGGTGCTGTCTACAGCAGTTTGGAAGGGGAAGGGGGACTGGTGCCAGCCAGAAGAGTGTCAGAGCTTTTCCAGTATGGGTGGCTGTATGGTGGCCTCAGGACACACCTCAGACAGTGTGGCTGATCCAGCTGCTGTTCCATCTGTATATGGTTGCAGTGGTGATGCCTGGGGAGCAAAAGGCTCTAGGGAGAGGTTATAACAGTCTTCCAATACCTTACAACAGCTTCCAATACAAGAAATCTGGAGATGGACGTTTTACAAAGGAATGAGTGGGACAAGAGGGAATGGCTTTAAGCTGACAGAGGGGAGATTTTAATTAAATATTGGGAAAAAACCCTTCCCTGTTAAGGTGCTGAGGCACTGGCACAGGGTGTCCAGAGAAGCTGTGACTGCCCCATCCCTGGCAGTGTTCAAGGCCAGGTTGGACACAGGGGCTTGGAGCAAGCTGCTCCAGTGGAAGGGGTCCCTGCCTGTGGCAGGGGTTGGAACTGGATGAGTTTTAAGGCACCTTCCAGCCCAAACCCTTTCAGGATTCTCTGATGGACCTATACCCAGTAGGTCCCATTCTCCGGGATCCTGGCCTTGCTCTCGTTTCGGTTCTCCTTTCTCCCTCACAGTCTTTGTTCATCATCCATCTGAAAGGTTTTCAGGATTCACCTGCCACTCTGGCACAAATCTGTTGTTCCCAGCAGAAGTCAGCCACAATCCAGTCCCATCAGCACTGGTCCTGCTAACTTCACCTTCCCATTCCAGATGGAAAAGCATGACAGCAGTGTCTGTCCTCTTTACATCTGTCCTGAAGAAGGATTTGGCGTCTTCATAAGCTGATGGGATGCAACCTGCAGGACAAACAGTCTCATATACATTGTTCTTATAAATATTGCAAGCACTTTCATGTTTTCTACAAGTATTTCCCATTATATTCTGGTTTCACTCCAGGTTTACTTGACTCATAACCTCTTAAGGCTAAATCAACCTGATGTACAGTTCCTGCATACAGGTTCGTCTTGCCTCTATCTAAAACAATCCAGTTCCTCCAACCCATTGGCTTGCCACTTCTCTGACATCTTTAGCAGGAACCTTTTGGACTCTTACGGAAATGCACTAAAGACTACTTCATCCCCTGTTCCTCAAGGCAGGTAATGGTTTTTATACATATGACCAGAGATTAAAATGCAAAGGATGAATTATAGCAATTCGAGAACATGTGGACTTTGATGTAGACAAAGGCGGAAAGCTCTTCCCACCTGATCGGATCCTCACAAGCATATAAATTCTTATGACAGAAGGAAGAAAAATATTACTTTGGAATCAGCATGGCCTGAAGAACTCATTCTATTCATTCCTGGTTTCACTTCTTTGATCTGTTGGAGATTTGACAGTTTGCTGTTAACAGCAATAGTCTTCTCTGTCGATCACACGTGATGCAGTAAGGTTTAAGAAAGGTGTTGTTTCCATTGGGTGTTTAGAAGAGAAAAGCCATGGAAAAAAAACCCGAAACAAACAGAAATCTATGAAAAGGTCACATTTCAGAGCCTTACAATCTGCTGGCATAGAAGTTGTCTTGTGGCAAGGCCACCTCAGTCCTGTAACAACATTGGTTGGCTACAGGGTCTTTCTGAAGCACAGTGAAAAAGAGGGCAGGGAAGAGCAGAGAGGCAGTTCTTATCTGAAAATAGACTGAAACGAAGCAGCTCCAAGTGCTTGCTTGGTGATGAGCATTGCTGAGAGCACAGAACCTTGAATCCCACCTGTTACAGGCAGCAGAAAACCTGTCTGTGGCAGGAAAGAGAGCCCAGAATAAGCACTAAAGAAGTTCCTTTCACTGCAGAGGACACTCGCTGTTTAAACCCTTCCTGCTCCACATCTGAAATCCCCTGTTTTCCCTCAGGCACCTCTCCTCAGCAGCCAGCTCTGCACAGGAGCACAGCTAAGTCAGTGGAGTCTTGTCCCCATTCTTGTTTTTAGAAGCCTGGTCTCCATTTTGGCATTTCAAGTGTTCAATGGAATCCCTGCAAAGAAGGAAGTCTAAGAGCGACCACATCCAAGTGAGCACTGCAGACAGAGGTGCCATACATCTGGATGTACTGCAGGTAGCCTTCATGCAGTGATGTACCCATGGTGCAATGAGTCCTTGCTGAAGTCTGGCTGCTGTCAGTATTCCTCACAGGCTGTATGGAAGCAGGAACAGGCACCATGTGCTGTAATCCTTCCTCCCACTGGCAAATCCACTCGGCACAAAGGGCATCACACTCTTTATAGGGGCTTGGTCACTGTGCTCTTGGTAGGACCCAACAAGCAGCTTCACTGCCTCCCTTTTGCATCCCTCAAAGAACAGCAGTGGGATCAGCCACGCTGGCATTTGGCATTGCAATAGAGCAGCCTGAGCCTGTTCTGTAGTTGGGAAGTCGAGTGGCTGGGACCAGGAGGCTGGTGTCTTCATGCCTCTGCTATGACTGGAGTGCTAGATCCTTCCCTCATGGGGGAAGATCCTAAGACACCACCAGGAAGGAAACCAGATTCTTCTGAGTCATCCATTCTCCATGGCCTCACTCCACAACTTCCCTTCCCTTCAGGTAAGCTCATGCTGTGCCCACGCCTCCCTCGGGCAGACCAGGTGGATTTGTCTCCTCTGACCATAGCTGTCTAGATATTACTCATCCCAGCTAGTCAGCAGTGGAAAATTATCAGCATCTCCAGAGGGTGAATCATCCCTGTTATCTCAGAGCCCTGTCTGGAGGCATGAATCAGTCTCTGGAGGACTCTGGTTTTCTCTTCTGGCTATGGAAAGACCCTATCATCAGTTTCAACTTCTGTGTGAATAAGGCTGGCTGAGATGTGTTTTTCCTGCCCCTGGAGAGCAAAACCAAAACATCCCTCTCCTCATCCCCCACTTGTATCTGGCAAAAACCGATCACTAAGCAACACGCATCATCAGAGCATGGGTACCAAAGCAGAGCTGAGCATCTCTCCAATGCCACTGCATGCCTCACCTGTGCATGCAATGTGTAAAGAGCAGCAGTTCCATCTCTTCATAGACTTTAAAATTCTCTGGAACGTGCTCTGATTCCTCTCTTGAGACTTCATTTTCCAACTTTCCCATTCACAGAGCTGGCTGACAACACTTGTAAAGGGGTGGTGGTGAGTGACACCCTTGCCATGCCCCGGCACCTCTAGAATTCACCGGCTGTGCTCCCAAGGGAAGAGGTCACAGCACAGGTTGTGTGGCTTGAGCTCTAGTTGTCTAGCAGAGGTTATACCTACATGGCCATGCCCAACATGTAGTGTAGTCACCAAGCTTTTCTATACTGACTACTATATTGTTCCTCCCTTTCTCTGCAATGACTGCAGTAGCCACCTTTCAATAAGCAAACACCCCTTAGAAGAGACTGTCAAACATCGAAGCAATTCCACCTTCATATCCCTCTTATATGCCCTGTCAGCTCCAACCTCAGGCTCTAATGGCTTTCAGGAAAAGACACATGCTACCTTGACTGCCCTCCCAGTACCTAGAACATTTTAGACACTAAAGAAATAACAATAACCCCAGCTCACATCCACAAGCCGCACACACACACACTCTTGCCTATGAGTCATATAGTAAGTTCCAATGTGTTTTCCATTGACCTTTATTATGGGGACTCATGAACCTTAACTCACTCGCCCATACACAGAAGTACCCAGGGCATGCTGCATTTCCCTAGGGATGACTCAATAGAGAAGATGGACAATGGGTCCCAGATGTTACGTACAGTAGATATAGCCGCATCGCGGGGAAGATGGGTCCCAGATGTTACATACAGTAGATGTGTCAGTGCAAAAGGAAGATGGGTCACAGATGTTACATGCATTGAATGTGTAAGCATTCCTGATGAACCACAGAGAAGATTCAGGTAAACTCAAGAGAGGAGGCAAGCAAATGAGCCTTGGATGGGCACAGGGGATGCTATGGATGTTCACCCAGCACAAGGAGGCACTCAAACACACTACAGTACAGTCCAGAACCTCAACAGGAGGAAGAGCCACCCAAGTGCCCATCAGAACAAAATAACCACTGGTCTAGCAATGATTGCCTGAGTCAAGCACCACAGACTGGACGTTTGGATCCCATGAGTGGGAAGTGGATGGAGCAAGGCAGATGTGAGCCCAGCTGTGACACCCTGCAGGTCCCCACTGCCAGACAGGGACTTTGTGATTCATCTGATCTGGGCCTGGTCCCTGTGCATCAAGCTCCTGTGCAAACTCGTTCTTTTGTCCCATTACATGCTTGGCCCTGAGGATCTGCTGGGGCACTGTGACCTATTCAGAGCCACTCCCCCCAGAGCCCTGTTCCTTCTGTTCCAAAGAGCTGTTTTTTCCTTCTCTTTTCCAGACAGCTTGTATGCTTGACAAACACTGTGTTTCCCATCAAGTATGCAGGACCCACACTGCTTGGTGGGCCTTTGAGGAGCTCTGTTTCTCTCTGCCTCCTTTCTGTACACTCTCCATTCCCCTGTGCCTGGCACTATGGACAAGGGGGGCAATGCCAGGCACACAGGGACAGGGCTGGTAGGGGAATCAGAGCAGCAGTGGGGTGCAGATGTCCAACTGTCAGCAGTTTCTGTACCTGCACTGAGATCTTGGCAATCCTGCTCTGCACGGTTCTGACCTGAGGGGTTTTGGAGGTGTCTGCAGCTGGGGATAACAAAGCCCTCTTGTCTCTACCAAAGGCACTTTGTGTGGAGCCCAGGTATTGCTCTGATTTCATTTCCTGAGCATCCCTCACAGAGGGCTTCCCAGAGGTACTTGTCCCATTAAGTCAGGAGTGAAGACTCACTGCAGTCTAAACAGAGCCCTGCAAACTTTTCCAACCAGTTCCTGTTCTGCAGCCAACTGGGAGCATGTTTGCATCTTGGATGTTCATTCACTGCCTAGGATGGTTTACTCAAGAGTTTTTAGCCTGGAAATGGAGCTAAGGAACTCTTGCGAGTCCTGCTTGAGGGCTACGAGCTCTTCTGTGGCAGAGGCAGAGAGCCCAGGCATTGCAGCAAGCCTACAAGACAATGTTTTACCTGTTCAATAATGTGTCTTTCATAGAATCATAAAACAGTTTGGGTTGGAAGGGACCTTTAAAGGTCGTGTAGTCCAGCCCCTGCAGTCAGTGAGCAGGAACATTCTCAACCAGATCAGGTTGCTCAGAACCCCAACCAACCTGGCCTTGAGTGTTTCCAAGGATGGGGCATCTACCACCTCTCTGGGCTACCTGTTCCAGTATTTCACTGCCCTCATCATAAAAAAATCTTCCCCTACATCTGAATGAACCCTCTTTTAGTTCAAGCCATTATTGTCCTACTGCTACAGACCCCACTAAAAAGTCTCTTTTATAAGCCCCTTTTAAGTATTGAAAAACTGCAATAAGGTCTCCCAAGAACCTTCTCCAGGCTGAACAGCCCCAACTCAGCCTCTCCTAAGACCATTTCTGTACCTCTCCTCTAGACCAATTCCAACAGGTCCATTCTCCCACTGTATCTGCAGTACGCTATAACCACAAGGGCACAGTGGGCAGAGCACAAATTGAACCCAGTTTTGCACCTTCCAGGTTAGCACTGCAATCCCTTGCTGCCTTTTCCTATTCCATTTGGTCTCAGTTGATGCAAGAACCTTTGCTCCTCACCTGGGCTACTTGGGCAGACTCAGGGACCCTTGTGTCAGGCCAGGGTGCTTTGAGCAGGGTGTTTTGCCATCTGGAGCCATCCTCCCTCCCTGCACAGCAAGCTCCCCAGGAGCTCACAAGCCAGGTACTGACTCAGTGTGTCTGGGAGTTTTGCTTGAGAAAGGACCTGAGGTGTTGGCCCCAGTCATTAGTAAGTTATCGGAGCAGTTTAGCTGCAGTGACATCATCTCCTTCTTATGTTACTACAAGGAACTTAGATCCTATTATGGGATAGGAGGTAACTCAATCGAGCCTTTCAAGATAAACTCAGACAGGAAGAGAGACATGATTGCCTGAAGGCACCAATTAGACATTTCTGGTGAGATCAGCTCTGTTCAGCCGACACACATGCACGCTGGGGCCAGGAACACAGCAAGTACCTTGCTCCCCAAGAAAGGGGTGGTCTCAGGAACGGGTGTGCAGCCAGCTCCTCCTCGCACTGCTCCGGGTCAGTGACCCTCCAGACCATCCCTTCCTCATGCCCTATGTTGAGCTGTTGACCTATAAAGATGCAGAGAACCTCACCAGTTTGGAGAGAGACCAACCCAGCTCCCTACCACCCCATGCTTCATATGACCTTTGGTGGCAAGCTTTCTCCAACTTTATCAAGGCAAATAATAGCACAATAACACTGCAAAAAATACAGGGAGGATGGCTTGGAGCTTGAGGTCCCATTGCCCTGTTGTGACTTGGCTGTGGGCAGTGGAGGAACATCAGAGGGTCTGTTCTGCAGACAGGTTACTCCACATAGTTTGTCTAAGGCAACCAGGCAGCCAGCTATTATTGGCACTACTGTGTGCAAGGAGGAGCAGCAGCAAAGGTGTGGGTTATTTCCTGAGAGCATGGCATTGTGCACTGTTATCGTTTCCAGTCTGCACGCCCTGCAAATGCTCCACATCCAGAAGGAACTGGAAAGATACGGATGAAGGTGCTTCTGCCAGTCATAGCCTGAGATTTGCACCACATCTGTTAGGGAACGGAGAGGCTGTTTCTGGTTATCCATTGGTGCAAACCTCTGCCAGTCATGTTGCAGACAGCAGGATGCATGTGCTTATAGATAGCTAGGAAACACACTTGTACACCCTCTGAAACACCCGGGAAGCAGTTCCTGGAACAAGACAGTTCTTAGAAAGAGATGGGTCTGTGGCACAGGAAACCAGAAATCTCAGATTATAGCTTGACCTGTTAGAATTACTACAAAACTTATGACATGCTCATTGCACTAACTACACACACCCACCCCACACCTGCACTGATTGCACTGGCTTACTTTCTGCACACTGGGAAGGAGGACTATCCCTCTTCTGACAGTTTGCTCATTAGAAATGAACTTCCTTACCTGCTTGGGTCCTTCTAGGAATGATTTAGATCATAGCACCAGTGGGGCAGCGGGGCCAGAGCAGTGATCGTCCCCCTGCACTGGGCACCAGTGAGGCTGCACCTCAAATCCTGTGTTCAGCTCTGGGCTTCTCACTGCAAGAGAGACATTGAGGTGCTCAGGCACTGGAACAGGCTGCCCATGGCAGTGGTGGAGTCACCGTCCCTGCAAGTGTTCACACATCATGGAGACGAGGCCTCAGTGCCATGGGTTAGTGGTGGCCTTGGAAGTGCTTCATAGAAGAGGCATCTTCCTCTGTAAGCAACAAATGGGTTAATCCTTGCAAGGAAAACCAACTGAGTGATTTGGTGAAATAAAGATTAAAACATCCCCGTGGAAGGTGAGGAGCCAGCCCCAGCCTGTGCTGTCCCATTTACCCACTAATCGGACCAATTATCTTAGGTATAAATCATAACACAAAACACTTACGGAGCCAGAGTCACACACTGAAGAAAGGAGAGAACTGTTGGGTTGGTTTTTGTTTAGTATAATTGATATAATTACTAACGACTCTGTGCCAAGAACTTCTCTTCCAGAAGAGAGTGGAGAGCTGTCTGAAAGCCATAGCAATTAGCAATCCCCACATGCACAGCTTTTATTAGAAAGAATGCACCTCTATTCCAGAAAGAGCCAGCATGTCCCTGAAGAGCAGTTAAACAACCCAAAGACACTTTTGGTACCAGGAGCATAGCCATTACCTAGTCCATGTTCCCTTGTCCATGCTGCAAAGGCGCATAAGGAATCCTGCCCAACATCCTTGTTCCTAATTTTAACTTCATTAGCACGTTAATAAACTCCTTAGATGAATCCAAATTATTGTCCCTGTACACAGGGATGCACAAAGACAGGGAGGTGTCTGAGTCCATTCAAAATCCCATAAAGGACCCATGCTACCTCACTGGCTTTTCTCTCCTACCTGTGGAGCATGGATGCGAAAAGGAGCCTTTCCTGGCCATATGCTAAATAGCCATGGAGCAAACCCATTACCATTAATGGTTTCTCCAACACTTAGTGCACCATCATCTTGAAGTCAAACTCCCTTGTGGTTCATGTTGGTGCTTTCATTGCAGAGGTTACAACTCGGAGTACTCAGCACAATGTACCAGCCTTTGGCTCTGTTTTAGAGCCTTCACAGAAGCATGGAATGGTTCAGGTTGGAAAGGACCTTAAGGTCACCCAGTTCCACCCCCCTGCCATTTAGTTCTTAAAAGCTACCACTATTCTCAGTGGATATTTCATTGTCCGTTCTTTAATTAATTAAACTTGATACAGAGCATTCACTTTCAAACCATTTTCAGTGAAAATATAAAGAGTTTGGTGAAAGAATGTCTCTGAGAGAAGTAAACAGCACTTTTTTTGGTTTGGGGAAAGATATGATACCAAAACCAAACAGAATCCTTACGCCGAAGAAGGAACGGGAGAATGAAGCAAAGATTCACATTTCCCATTCAAGTTTTCATTTTAATCAAGAAGTTCTTGTTTGTCCCAAAACATTTGGATGGAAATTTTCAACCAGAGTCTTTAATCTTCCCCTGCTCTGCTGCAGGGTTTGCTTTTCTGCTCCTTATTATTTGGATTTACCTCATTCCAGGGGGAAAAGTGGTTGGGTCTGCTGCAATGTCCAACTTCCATCAAAAATATTACTTTAAGTAGTCAAAACTACCAATTTCTATACCCCATTCTCTTGGGGAGGTTTGTTGATTTGAGGGCTGTTAACTTCCTTCTCTCTTGTTTCGATAAGGGACAGGGTGCTTTCTCTTTGCAATTTGAATTCAGAGATCTTTCCTTTAGATAGCTTGGAAAAACAGAATAAGCTCTGTTGGTTGCAGATGGAAATCAGAATTTGCTTTCTCCCTGGATAATTGGTTCCTGGTATTTCATCCAGATTTGAAGTGTTTTTCTCTTAGATTTTGATTTTGAAATCTACAGATAACGCATTGTATCCTGCTCACCATTGTTGAAATAACAGATCTTTAACAGAGATGATTCCCAATCCTAGGTTTTTAGTTTCTCTTTTTTTTCCATAATAAGCCTGCTATTTTTTGGCTTCTGATTCTATTTTGGATCAAAAACGAGTCTTAAAAATTAAGGTTTCTCACCAAATTAAATCTCAAATTCAACCGCCTTAGGTTTCCATAGTGTAATAAAGGAAACAGAGAAAAAGCAATTGGCAGATGCAGGAGAAAAGAAAGGCCTGAACATGTGCAATACAGTGAGCACAAGCTTAATTCCTGCACCATGACACATGGTCTGACTTGTTTGCGGTGCTGCTGCAGGTAGCTCTAGCTGTTCGGATCAAACACAGACCCCAAGCAGGGCTGCCACATATTTCCCATTTCCAGACAAACCCTTTTCTTTGGGAATGAGGCTTTGGCCCCACGGTTTGGCTGTCCTGCAGCAGTGGGTGTGAGCAGGTGTGGGGTACCCCAGGTAGGGCTGTGCCTCTGCAGATCAGCTCAGGCAGATCCATGGCAAGCCCAGCCCCAGGGGATGCAGCTTTGATGCTCATTTTGAAGTGGGGTGCCTGCAAGCCGCTGCTGGCCAATGTCCATCTGGTGGGTCCATGTGGAAGGACTTAGCCCAACCGCTTGTTTAAGAAGCTGCCATTAGCTGGCAGCGCTCAATGGCCAGCAAGGAGGGATCATCACCGGCAGTGGTCAAACATCTCCAAGCACAGCCTTATGCTAATCACTATTTACAGCCTAATCCAATCTCCCTGGCCATCAATCCATCCCGCCTCGGCATCAAAATTCCCTTTGCATAACACTGCGGGCACATAAAGCAAAGCTAGATCCATCTCTCACTTATCCCCACCCTGTTTCTTTCCCACTCAGACGCCTGGATGCAAACCTTATCTCTGTGGTGCCCGAGAAGAGCTTTGAGGGGCTGCTTTCCTTGCGTCACCTATGGCTGGATGATAATGCCCTGACGGAGATCCCTGTCCAAGCTCTGAACCACCTGCCAGCGCTGCAAGCCATGACCCTGGCTCTCAACCAGATCTGGCACATCCCCGATTATGCCTTCCAGAACCTCAGCAGCCTCGTGGTGCTGTAAGCCTTCTCTGCTTGTTACTCCCTCACAGCCACAGCATCCTCCGGCTGGGACAAGGTGCTGACCGTGCATGGCAAATGGGGTCCTCCTCGTGTGGCCACTCCTCTGGAGCAGCTATTTGCTGCAGGGGCAGCGGGCAGAGGTTTTGTTCACAAGGAATCGCTGCCGTTTGAGATGAAATGCTAAAATTGCCTAATTTGGGGTGGTTTTTTTTCATGTTTGCTCCACTTTTCATTGAAAAGCCAAAAAGCTCCTCAATATAATTAAAAAAAAAAATCTTTTCATTTAAAAGAAACCCCAACCAACCAAAAAAAATAAACCACAAAACCTGGAAACAAAAGGATTTTATTTTACCTGAAGACTGGAGCAAAAAACAGCTTCTAATTTCTATTTTCCCTTCAATCCCTGTGTTAAAACTACAGGAATTTCTATCCACATAAACCAGCATTTTTTGTCATTATAATCCATGCCAAGAAAACTTTTTGACCAAACATGATTTTGAACTAAAGGTCCAACCTCAACACCTTGTCCGAGTCTTTGCATGCTTATTTGCATGACTGTATTATATATGCAGATCAATCGTTCTTTGCAGTGATCGCGACCCCAAGGTGCATGTTGTTGTCCAGTTGACTGACAGCATCCAGAGCAATGTAGGGAACAGTGCTATGTACGTGGTCCAGGAGGGAAACACTTACTCCATGGACAGCAAGACACAATAAAACACTCCGTAGTCAGGAAACAAAGTGATGCCCTTGGCAGTTAGGTCAGGAGCATCCTTTCCATCAGCAGAGGCTTGCAGCTTATCTAGCTCTTCAAAGGAAGCTCACATGTGCAGATTAGCTTGTCATTAATTTTTGGTGTTGATTAGCAAGTTCAGGTGTGATTGCCAGCTGCTTTTGAGCTCCTAAAATGCTACCATTGAGTTCTGTGATATGTATTGATAGCAGGGTGTTAAGTAACCTCAGCATGTGGTGCCTCAGTGAAAGTTTACCAATTACTTTGCTTTCAAAATCTGAAGTGTTTACTGAAGCCATCTAGCACAGAAAGTGCTTGGACAAAGCAGTCTAGAGCTTTATTAAGCATCAGCTTCAGCTGTTTAGACAAAGCATAAAGGCTTATTTAGGAGAAATGCTAAAAGCAACTTGGGAAATGTCAAATAAGTAGTTTTCGCCCACAATAGTGCTCCTTCTACAAGGCATCCCATGACCATCATAATGCAACCACTTCATTCAGCTTTAATAGCTAGCCCGGCGGGTGAGCTGACATTTGGGGTTTTATTTTCAGTCTTAAAAGCATGCTGCTTTCATTCTGGCTTATCCCATACTTTGGGTGAGAAGCAACTCCTTAATTAAACAGGCAAGCTCAAGAAATAAAAGTCATTGACCGCTAGGTCACAAGGGAGAGAATAATGTCCCACCACAGACAATTGGAAGGGAACACATGTGTGATCCTGCCAGGCACTGTGAGACACGATGAGAAATTGTTGTGGGATCACAAGTGTTTGGCAGAACTGGGCCCATAAATCTCTCCCAAGCTTCCATGCACACCCTTGTCAGTGCGCAGCCAGTGCAAGGTCACCCAGTGTTTCTCCTGCACCCCAACCAAGGATGCTTCCCTGCTTCAACCTTGCCCATCAAGCTGAGAAGACGGCACAGCTCAGTGGTAAAGTTCATGAGGAGACCTTTCCTACCAGGATGCAGAGGGTACCTATCCACATTCCTCTGCATGGGTTCCTATGCACAGGTACCTATAGGAACCTACACAGGTTCCTCCACGTCTGAATCTCCATGTGGATGGAGAAGAGCTGGCTGCTGTCCTAACGTCGAGAAGCTTCTAGCCTGAAGAGGTATTAAAATGACCCCCTGGGGGAGCAGAGCCAAGGGCAGATGTGGAGGAGCATGGGGGAATCTCCCATACACAGCCTGATTAACGCTCATAGACACGGCTGACCATGGCTGAGGGCACGACCTTCCCAGGTGCAGAGATGTGCTTTTCCTCCTCCACACACCTTGGGCCTTTGGGAGAGACGTGGGTGATCATCCTGCACCAACATCAGGATATGCAAGGCTCAATCTGGAATAAGTTAAGGGGTTCGGTCTCTGCTAATAAATTACACCTCTGTTGAGGAATTCACTGATCTTATTCCCATCTATTGCTGCTGCAGGTTTCTAACTAGAGCTGCAGGGCGTTCAGTAAGCAGAGCCTTGTGTAAATCACTCGTGATGAAATCTGAGTCTCAGTAATTGGCACCATCCTTCCCCCAGCTTTGATAACAAAGGCTTCATGTGCTGTGATGTTGGCACTGTGCTGCTGATGGCAGAAGGGAGACGGCTTGTTTGATCAGGGCGGCTGGGGAATAGGATGCTGAAGATATTACCTCCAAGTCTGATCTATTCAGGACTGAATGCGTCTCAGCATCTGCAAGTAGAAAGAGTTCTGAATATTTTTCAGCTGATGATTTGTATGAGCAAAGGGGTTTTTTGCAAAGAACATCTCCTTTCTTGGGGCAAAAGAAGATTTTTCATTTAGAAGCCAGCATCTGAAACCCCCATGCTGCTGTGCTGACAGGCTGATAAAGTGCATGACAGCAGCTCTCGTTAGCATTCCTCATCTCCTCTGTTGACTGATTTCAGCAAAGTTAACTCTCCAAACAGGAATCACAGCACCTCTTTCAGCCCTGGTCCCCAGAGGGGTCTGCTAGCCCTGCAGTAAAATCTCACACGGACTTACTCAAGCGTTCCTGCAATGCTGAGCATGCTGCTGTCAAAAGGACCCAGCATTTGCTGCTTCACATGCAGTGAGCTTGGAGCCACTGGGTTAACTTGTCCCCATAATGCTAAAAGGATGCTCTGCTTGTCTTACCTGGCCTGACTTCGTCTACCTGCACACAAGTCTTTCGAATACAAGGACTCTGAGAAAGGTGTTTTCATGCCACTGCCAGTTAGTTTGGCTTCACATCTTCCTGTTCTTGCACTCTGTCTCTACCTCCTCTATGCCATCTCTGTATTTATCACTGTCTCATACCCTTCCCTCATCGCAGCTTTTCCAGTCCCCATCCCATTAGCCGGTTTTAGATCAGAAGTTACTTTACATATCACACTTCTTTGTTCCTCCACACCTTTGAGGTGGAGCCATCAGAACCACACGCTGTAGCAAAGACAAAAATTAATGCCAATTTATACGATGACATAATGCTGCTCGGCAGCACATTTCCTCTTTTCTAGTCACCCCTAACCATTTGATTTGCTTTTTGGCAGCTACTAAACACCAACACCCCCTTCCTTTAGATATGTAAAGCCTGTTACCGCATATGCTCCTAGAAGACTGGCTTTCATCCCCTCCCCAGCACTTTACATTTATGCAGCCTGAATTTCAGCTGATGTTTTACTGTTGAGGATGAGACACCCACCTGCAAGTGGCTCCCTCCTAGGTCAAGAGCTTCCAGCTCAATGTGTTGATGTCTGAATACAGTAAATGAAGGATATTTAGTAGAATTTCTCTTTCTTACAGTTTTGATTATGGACATGAAGTAAGGACATGATGCAAGTAAGGACATGATGAAGCTCTGTCTCTAACAGTATGGTCTAGTGACTAGAGGAGAAAACTAGTTTCAAGACTCCTGTGTTCCCATTCTGGTTTTGGTCCATGTTCTGATATTACTCTGGCCATAAGTTTCAGAAAGGACTATGGATTTCCAGTGTCTTCCCTGCCTGGGAGCAAACATTAAACATCTCATCCCTGCTTTCCAGGGGAGCTGAGCACCAGCAGCTTCAGCTGACATAGAATCATAGAATAGTTAGGGTTGGAAAGGACCTTAAGATCATCCAGTTCCAACCCCCCTGCCATGGGCAGGGACACCTCACACTAAACCAGGGCACCCAAGGTTCTGTCCAACCTGGCCTTGAACACTGCCAGGGATGGAGCATTCACAGCTTCCCTGGGCAACCCATTCCAGTGCCTCACCACCCTTACAGTAAAGAACTTCCTCCTTAGATCCAATCTAAACTTCCCCTGCTTAAGCTTGAACCTGTTACCCCTTGTCCTGTCACTACAGTCCCTAATGAAGACTCCCTCCCCAGCATCCCTATAGGCCCCCTTCAGATACTCCATGGTACTCTGATCTCCCCAGGATAGCAAACCCCAGTCTGGTAGGTCACTGTCAGGATAAGCCTGTGCATCGCTACCGTCACCTGCACAAGGGAGTGAACAAGTCCCTCTTGAGACCCTCGGTGTGGGCAGAGAGTGCCAGGCATGTGCGGTTCATTATTACTCAGAACAATGTCTCCTGGAACATCAGGGTCCCATTCACGGGCTGTTCGATCTGCAAAAGTGCTTTTTCTCTCTGCAGACCGAACCTGCTGCCTTGGCAAAAGTGAATTTCCCTCTCCAGCACTTGAGGAAGAAGCAAACAGCTCTCCGATGCACCCCTGAGGATGTCACTTCTGCTGGAGCTTTGTTCTCCGCCAGACGAGTCCCATGCTATTCCTTCACTGACAGAAATAATCCGTGGGAATTGGCACCATTTATGATTTAGTTTTCTCTACTTATCCATGGCCAAGTTGAGGAAAAGGACAATTTTGCTACAATAGAGCTGGAAATTCATCATGGCACTGGCTGGTCCAGTGAGAGGATTCATATCATGTCAGATTTGAACTCGGTTCGAATCATTTAACACAAATAGTTGTTGGAAAATACTTGCATTTGTCCTTTCTGAGAAGAAAAACTGGAATCCTTAAGAAAAGAAAGGGATGGAGAATCCACCACTTCTCTTTGTACTTTGTTCCAACCATCTTTAGTGTTAAAAGAAAGGCTCAGACTTCCCATTTGAGTTTTCTTTGGCTTTGACTTCAGACATTTGTTCTTATTCTTTTCTCCACTAAATCACAGAACCATTTTAGTACCCATTTTCTAACTAGGAAGAATCCTATACATCCTACTGCGCACATCATCTTATTTGTATTCAGCTAAACAGATTGAGCACTCTAAGTCTCCATCCTTGGGTTTTTTCAGCCCTTGGATCATTTTTATTGCTCTTCTCTACACCCATTCCAAATTAACAGCACCCAGTTAACAATGTGGGTACCAGAAATACATTTACCCTTCCAAAGCCAATTTTGCCAGTTCAAATCAGGTAAACTGGGAAAATCACATTTATGCCTAATTTGTGATAAGAAATTGTTGTCAAGGGCAGAAAATCTTCCTTCTAGAAACTGTTGGATACCAGCTCCAACAGGAATAGGAAGGGCTTAAAGCCTGGTCATGTTTTTGCATCACGAGAGGGCTGTTTATAGCCCAGAACCGAGCATCTCGAGCTGCTATCAAACCAGCTGTAATTTACAGGGCAGAATAGAACGTCTGTGGGCTGAGCTCAAACTGACAAACCCTGGAGATGTTGCAATTCCACTTGTTGAAATTTGTTTACCAGAGGAGGAAGAAAAAGAGGCAGGGTGGAAGAAAGGGGCATCTATTCAAGTGTTTACCTTTCCAGCTCTGTTGCTTCTATTCTTGCCATGTGGCTGGTGAACAGCTCCAGAGCTCAGCTTGGACAGCAGATCTTTTTATAGCTCTTTTCTGGTTGCTCATCCTTTTCTCACCAATAAATAACTTCCTCCTGATGAGTTTCATTACTTCGCCTCCAAACAAAGCACTTTAGAGCCAGAGAACAACACAGGAGGCGATTGCTTTTCTATCCTGTTGCCTGACTTGAGTGATGGCACTCAACTGCTTGGCGTGTCCCATTGTACCACCCCGACAAGGCTCCTTGTAGCTCACACCTTCCCCAGCATTCAACATTCCCTTTCTCCCCACACTGTCCACTTGCAGCAGACAGAGGTATGGGGCGAGGGGTTTCTGTGGTACCTCTTGCTGTGATTGCAGACTCCAGATCCAAAGCCTCTATTTGCAGTAGCCAGTGCTCAAAGGGACCCAGAATGGTTGGTACCATCTTGCACTGGAAGTGCCAAGTGAAGTAAGGGCAACACGGTCTGGAGCTAACCCATAGTATTTGACAGAGAAAATCATCTGGACTTGAACTCCTCTTCTTGTGATAAAGAGAAATTTCTCCTGTAAGATTCTGATTTTGAGCTCTGCTTCTTTTCTCCCCTAAGAGCCACGATCAAACCACTTGCAGGCAGCACCCTTTTCTTTTCTTTTCTCCCATTTGCTCCAAGGAGCACACATACTTTTTCACACATCTCTCCCCTCCCTTCCCCTTCCTCTGAAATGTTTGTATGTTCTCATCCCAATGACAAACATCCGTCTTGGGCTGGTTTCTGTTTTGCAAGCCCCTACCAACCTGCCCTAGAGCCTGCCTGCTCCTCCCCTCCCAGTTCCCTCCTGTTTTACCCTAGAATATTTGGCAGTGGGAGCTGCCTGTGCTCAGCCAAACAGCTCGCTCTTGAATCCAGGTGGAGTGAGAGATTTTTCAAGCAGAGACAGATTTAGATCAAGCAGCAAATAAGGAAGCAGTCATTGATCCATCTGCCAGCATGGAGCCTCCCCAGGGCTCTTGGAAGGAGGCAGCAGTGTTGGACAAAGGCTGGTGCATCCTTGAGCATAGGGAAGGGAGAAAAGGACCCCAGAGGCAAGCGCTGTGGCAACAGATTCACCACACAGGACTCTGTGTTAAAGGAGAGCCCAAACTGTAAAATGAATGGTGGGGAAGCCTGCTCTGGCAGAGGTCAAAAGGGCCCTGCCCCATAGGACCCCATGTCTTCGGTGGGCATTTCTCCATAAAGACCATAGCAAGCATGGACATAATAATAAGTCTAGGCTGGGAGAAGTGCAGCCTGTTTTTCAGCAGACGTTCCTCAAGCTGCTCTTAAGCACTAGATATTCATCATGTGTAGCACCACGATGAATGGGAACAAGGGGAAAATATGCTGTCTTTGTGTAGAGAATATGCATGCATCTCACATGGCCCCTGCACTCTGGAGCATTAAAGTGAGGCAACTTTCCTTGCAATTAAACTGGAGCTAATCCAGTCACTGGCAACTTATTCAATTCATTGCAAGATAATAAACCGGGACTAACAGGATGATTTGGGGCTCAAAGCCTTCTTGCCACTATGAAGGCTCTGAGGAGTCCAGATATAACTGTCCTTCAATAGTGCTCGGTGCCCATGAGTGAAGCCACCCAGCACTTTGTAAGGTTAGACCCAATGTAAGGTGAGATCTAGGGTGTTCTTGAAGCTTCTTGCTTAACCATGCTCATCCAAAGTCACCTGGCAGCTGTGAAAGTGGAGGTCTTGGGGGAACTCCTACCTCAGCCTGGATTGCTTGGGAGAAACAGGAGCTCTGTAGCTGTCTGCAGGCACCCAGCACGTGTCTCATGGGGCACGAGAGGAGACCTTATAACACCCCTCCTCATCCCAAGCCAGGCTGTGTTCAGCTTGCAGGACATCCCTGGGCCATGGCTCAGGCTCACAGGACAGGTCAGCGTGCACCTCCACTGACCATCTCTGTTTTGTCCACAGGCACCTGCACAACAACCGCATCCAAAGCCTGGGAGCCAACGGCTTCGATGGGCTGCACAGCTTGGAAACCCTGTGAGTCCCCTCTTTTCTTCTCTATCCTGTAGAGTTGTGTACATTCATCCCCTCCATCAGTGCCCACAGCAAAGATCCCCACTGCACATCCACTCCCCACCACACACTGAGGGCACCGGCCCAGCAAGCAGATGCCCAAGGCACGATGCTTCATGGGTGATGGCAGACTGGACTTTCCCCCTGCATCTGTGCAAGCTGGTCCAGCTGCAGAGGGGTCTGCACGTGTGGGTATTGTCTATGAGGGGGCTCTGGGGCCCTGGACACAAGTGCAGTCCAGAGAGCTTGCATGCCTGCCCTGCTCAGGGCGGTCTCCACCTCCTCACCAATTCACCTGGTCCAAAAGCTTCCTAAACACCAGCCCAAAGTGAGGGGATCATGGCTGGTAAATCCTCCAGAACCTGTGAATCTCTTTGAGATGGTCTCTCATGTCACTTGGCATCATGTTCAGGCAGTCTGTCGGGAGACAAGTGGAAAACAGGAATGAGCTCTCCTCCAGGACACATCTTCATTAGCAGGAGATGGGTCACCCTGAGCTCAAAGAGAATTAAATCTGATGGTCTTGCCTTGCACACACCATGCCTTTTAACTGCAGTATGAACTACTTGGGTCTCATGTGTCATGCATTGGACTAGGAGGGGACATAAGCAAGCAAGCAAAGAAACCAAGGCTCTGAAAGAACTGGAAGAGGTGCCTGTTGCCCTCAATTGTGTAGAACATGTCCCTTCATGCAGGCCTTGGGGTCAGAGTCAGGCCCTTGCTCCTTGCCAAGGAGACCTAGGGGGTCTGGGTCATGGTGAAAAGAGGTGATGCTTGCCAGCATTCAAGGGGACAGGGCCCCTCTGTGCCCAGCATGGTGCCAGCAGCAGCGATGGGTTGAGAGTGGAAGCATCAGGCCAGCCCTTGGTCCCTAGAGACCCTCCTGGGGGGCAGGACCACGACACGCATTGTCTCTTACTTTCAGACTGGCACATACTGGGGCCACCCAGAAGGGCTCAGCTGGGGAGAGGTTGAACCATGCCAGGGATGATGCAGGAAGGGATCCTGCTGGATTGTCTCCTCTGGTGACCCACGGATCTCCCCCATCACTGTGCAGGCTTGGCTTTGTCCCCAGGCATTTCTGGTGGGTAGAGGCAAACATGAGGGCAGAGTCGTGTCACCCAGGCAGCACAAAGGCAGGCAGTTTGTGGGAGGGAGTGGAGCACTTCCTGATGGAAGTAAACCCTGTTCGGGCTATAAGCACAGGCAGACCATGCAGCAGCATCACAGCCTACATCAGAGCGACCTAATTATTCAGCCTGCTCATCCCAAGCAGGATGAGGATGTAGAGAAGCAGCTGCCCCCTTGTTTACTGCTGGAAAGGGCTTCCATTTCCCTGGGGGATAGTTCAGTTCCCACAGAGGCTGGTGCTGAAAGCTCATCTTCAATCTCTTCCTCTCTGCTCCTGCGCTATCACTTTCTCTGCCTCCTGTCGCCCATCTGAGATGCCACCCAGCGCTCAGGGGAGCTCAGCATCTGCCTCTCCTGCTCTCAGTGCCCGCAGGGACACGGCTGCAGCAGTGGATGACCAGGCAGCCCTGGGACCCCCAAGGGTTGTGCCCTTGGAGCAGAGCTCCACATGGCTTGGATTTGCCCTGTGAGCATCCCACAGCCCGCATCCTTCACGAGCCGCCTGCAGCTCCAAGCACGGGGCTGTGGATGCGATCTCCAGACTCCCCTCCACATCTGGTCACACTGGAGTGTCCTCAGGAGGCAGTGAGGGGCCTTTTGCTCCTCCTGACCTAATTCTCACCTCCAGGCCAGCAAGTATTGCAAGCCTTTGTTGCTCCTGCCAGTGGAGCCATCCCCGTCCTGTCCATGTCCAGCTCCCATCTGCCCTGCTGACCAGAGCTGGCCAAGCTCTGTGCCCAAAACCAGCCACGCATTTGGCTGCAACAGCCCTGCCAAGCTTCTAGAGCTGCATCTACCTACCAGCTCCCAGCTCCTGTTAGAGGCTCCGCACATACCCTGTAACTCAAATCGTGATTACATTCTGTTGACAGCATTTAGCACATTCTCTTGGCTTGTGGAGGCCAAACTGTGCTCTCAGTTACCCCGTAGGCGTTACCTCCTGGAAAACAGCAAGATGGGAAGAGTTTGGTGAAGACCAAAACTTCTCCAGGGTTACTAAAATGAGTGTCTGTGGCCAGATGCTGATTACAAACCAGGCACAACAGCTGAAGACGTTCAAAGGAGACAAAAATTGTCTGGCTTTCCAGCAACGCCTGGGAAGTTTTAGGTGCAGGAACCTGTTTCCCTAAGGAAAATGTTTCTTCTCATATCCAGCTAGAGAGGGAAACGTCTGCTTTTATCAAATGCAGGTAAAACTGAAAGAGAATCCTCACCCATTTCTCCATGCAGGTCTTGGCAGTGGGCAAGATGCTTACACACATTCACACCGCATCCCTACCCTGGTCCTATCATTTCTGCAAAAGCAGGTCCCAGTGGAGCATCTCTGTTCTTGGAAAGGGCTTGGCCCCCATATTTTAGGAGGGCAGCAAATCCAGAAAGAGGCAAAGTAAAGGCGGATGAATGACTTCATGTTTCCCCTGCATTGACCTGCAGCTACTGTGACAGGTCAGCTTCGCCAGATGCAGAGCAAGAACAGCTCCATGCTGGTGAGGGGCAGGTTGATGTGCAGCACCCACCAGGTTTTAACTGGTCAAACACCAGCACATTGTCCTAGTAGTTTTGAAATAGCCTTGAAACCTAGTGAGGTTCCCTCACCAGTTCCCATAAGCCTGAGTCATGAAACACAGCAGCCCTGCAGGGCTGTGGGAAGAAACCAGGTACTAGATGGTTGAAGTGGGTGATAACCTGCCATGTTTTAGCGCTCTCCTGATGCCATGACCTTGACACACTTGAGAGGTGGCCAATGCCAACCTCATGAAGTTCATCCAAGCCAAGGGTCAGGGCAATCCCAGGCACAGATACAGGCTGGGCAGAGAAGAGATTGAGAGCAGCCTGAGGAGAAGGACTTGGGGGTTTTGGTTGATGAGAAAGTGAACATGAGCCAGCTTCAGTGCGCGCTTGCAGCCCAGAAAGCAAACGTATCCTGGGCTGCATCAAAAGCCACCACACATCCCCCAGCACCTGCTCAGGGCTTGATTTTGAGCCGCTGAAGCAAAGGGAGAAATGCAAAAGTAAGAGCTATGGGCCTCTCAGTGGTCCTGTGCATGGACATGGCCAAGTCCCTTACACACATGGAGCCTGGGCTGAACTGAAACAGGGGCAGGGCTCCTCCTGCCCTGGCACATGCAACCAGACGAGACCCTGATGCTGGCAAAGGGCAAAAACATGTCCCACCAGTGTCCCATCTCCCCACCCTGCAGCAAGACCAAGGTGGCTCCCTGGGGAAGAGAGGGGTGAGAAACAAACACTGCTCCCCAAGACCAGCCCATAATGCTGAAGACCTCAGGGCTATGGCCAAGAGAGCAATGATCTGCCCCCAAATTGCTGCTCTTCTAATTGTTCAGCCATCTCCAGCCCATCGCTGGCATGAATGTGATGGGGAACCAGCTCAGACTGGCCCCACAGCCCTCGCCCATCCCCTCTGCCTAAGATGACCCTGCTGCTTCCTATCTCTCTGACTTCTCCCTCCCCATCCGCACCCCTGGCAGCTCCTCCACTCGTCAGACAAAGGAGATAAATCACTTGGGAAGAGCAAATCTCCATTCATTTAAAAACCTTTTAATTTCTTTTCAGAAAATAGCACTAATAAATTAAAAACGTCTCCCAGAAGGGCTGGATCCAAACCCTCTGGCTCCAGGCATTCTATCTGCCTAACCTTGCCTCACAGGAAACGTTCTTACCACAGCCTTTCCCAGTGTGCTGCCCTATTATCTGGGTAATTAGAGTAGTCTGTAAATGCAGAGAAGAGTTGGAACCTAAGGAATCCTCTGGAGAGCTGGATTTCCTATGGGAGAAAAAAGAACAGAAGATTAATACAAAGTGCACCGTGGGCAATGAAGGCAGGAAGAAGGAAGCGGGAAATCTCTCCCCCATAGCTCATAGAAGGGTTGTTTCACCCTTTTAGGGCCAGGCAGGCTTAGCTGTTCTGCCAGCCTTGCTCCTCAAGTGGCATCCGTTTCCATCAGCATGTTTCATTTGAAGTGTTTTGTGCAGTCTCTCGATGCTAATCCAAGTCTGTGCAATTCCCAAAGTGGCTTTGTCTCCTCTGAGGATGCTGCACCGAGATGCTCTCTTGCTTCCTCAGCATCCTGATGCTCCAGCCCTGCTGTGTGTCAGCATGGACCCCTGTGCAGCTCGTCAGAGCCTTGGCTCTATGGTCCCAACCCTGTTCTGCCACAGGGGACTTCAGCAGAGGCTTGGGTACCCAAATTCAGGGGGTGGGAAAAGGAAGGGGTAGGTGGCTTTATGAAGAGAGGGACCACAGCTCAGGGCTCTGGTTGCATGGGCCCCTGTGTCTGGTCCATGAACAGAGCTATAAAGTCCATTGCCTGCTCTGATCATCATGTAAATGGAAGGTGCCTCTTCCAAACAAAGACACCTGTAAAACTGCATGGACAAATGCACAGAACACTGCTTGGAAGCATGGGGATCAGACACTTCCTTCCTGTGGTCTCCTTGGGCCAACCGGTCCCAGATTGCTGCGTCTTCTTTCCCAAGAGCAGGAGCCTGAACTGCCAGGAATGCATCCTTACTGGTGCAGCTCAGGCTCTGAACCAGTCAGGTACCTCCCAGCCGAGCTCTGAGCTTTGCCTGAACACGACCCCAAGCAGACAGGATATCTTGCAAATTATATAGAAAAAGAAAAAAAGCCAGAAACTGAAGGCAGCTCATGTGGAAAGGTAGTTCTGGAGTCACTGTGTTTGTGCATGGGTTATGGCTCTGCTGTGAGCCTCACCTCCTTCACCTCCCTTTGCCCTCCAAACCCTCACACCACCCTGCTTGCACCCTGCCTGGCTCCCTCTGGAGCTGGTGATCTTGCAGTGCCAGAGAGCACTGAGACTCCTCCAACCCATGGGTCCAG